GTGCAAACTTCACTCCGTTCAATCGTTGGTGAAATGGATCTAGATGATGCATTGTCATCACGTGATCATATCAAAGCAAAATTAAAAGCAGCGATCTCTGATGATATCTCAGACTGGGGGATCACACTAAAAACTGTGGAAATTCAAGATATTCAACCATCGCACACGATGCAATCAGCGATGGAAGCCCAAGCTGCTGCAGAACGTCAACGTCGTGCAACAGTGACCAAGGCAGATGGTGAAAAACAAGCGGCGATTTTAGAAGCAGATGGACGTTTAGAAGCCTCTCGCCGTGATGCGGAAGCTCAGGTTGTATTGGCTGAATCTTCACAGCGTGCCATTGAAATGGTGACCTCTGCTGTAGGTGATAAAGAAATCCCTGTTGCCTACTTACTCGGTGAGCAATATGTCAAAGCAATGCAAGACATGGCCAAATCGAATAATGCCAAAACTGTTGTACTCCCAGCAGATATTATGAATACTATTCGTGGTGTGATGGGTAGAAACTAATTTAGCGCGGTAAAAATCGTTAAAAAATAGGCAGCCGATGGGTTGCCTATTTTTTAACGTGAAAAATGTCGCTTAAGTTTTAAGGTTGAACAATTGATCCATATTTTTTCGTTATCTATAGTTAAATTTCGCGTTACTTAAAATCCTCTCTTTGCATCTGCATTCGAGATTTAAAGATCGATATTAAAATGAAATTACATAAAATACAGATAGATGAAGACTTTGAAGATGATGGGCTTTGCTCTATTACGTTTTGGTTCGAGGATGGCCCGAGATATATAACCCTATGTCGGGATGAACTAGCGTGTCCAAGCAGTATTTACATTGAGTATACTGATCAAATATATGGATTTGAAACCAGAGACATCGAATATTCATTTGAGAACGGACGATTAACCCTAAAGCTGTTGGTTAATTCGTTCAGATGGAATAATTCCAGTGATGTTGAAATTTATATCCCTAAGGCAGAAATTGACTCAGTGACATCCATCATGGAAAAAATATTTGATCTCAATTAAATTAGCTTTTTCTTGCCAACAAAAATTGCGAAATTTGATTCAATTCCTGTGCATCCTCGCCAAAATACGCTAAAGCTTTAAATGCTTGGTCATGTAATTGTTGCGCATAAATTTTGGCATTTTCTAAGCCCATTAAGGCAGGATAGGTCGACTTATCTACTTGTTGATCTTTGCCTGCAGTTTTGCCCAAAGATTCAGTATCAGACACCACATCTAAAATATCATCTTGTACTTGAAATGCTAAACCAATCGCTTGACCATATTGACGCAATTGTGGAATGGCTTGATCTGTACCTGAAAAAATTGTCACAGCAGACAGCATAATTGCAGCTTGGATTAAAGCCCCTGTTTTATTGCGATGGATATTTTCTAACTGTGCTTGATCAACATGTTTGCCTTCAGCCTGTAAATCCAAAACCTGACCACATACCATTTTTGAACTTGCTGTGGCTAAGATTTGCATTTGTTTAAGAATAATGCCCTGTTCAACAGCTTGACCTTGATCAAATAGACGGCTTCCTAATACCTCAAATGCCATCGATTGCAAAATATCACCAGCTAATAGCGCTGTATCTTCACCAAAAGCCACATGACAAGTTGGCTGTCCGCGACGTAACAAGTCATTGTCCATACATGGCAAGTCATCATGTGCCAATGAATAGCAATGAATAAACTCAATCGCAACCGCAGCTCTACGCACGGCTGCAAAATTCGGATTATTTTGTTGTAAATGTGCAGTTGCATAACTTAAAGCCGGTCTAACTCGTTTTCCACCTAACATCACCGTATGATGCACTGCAGATTTTAATGGTTCTGGCAATGAAAAAGCATCTAAAGCAGCTTGTAAATCTTGCTGAATTTGCACTTGCGCTCGTTTTAAAATTTCTGCATTAACATTGGGAATAGAAGTCACATCTGCCTCGGTTTGTACGAATCGCTAAAACTAAAATCAGTAGTTTTAGATACATTGGTAAATTGGGTGAGTCAGAACATTCTACTATGAGTCACTATAATTCTCATCCTTTAATTCCAATCCAATCATTTGAATAAGTGCAAGGCATCTATATTTCATTTTTTAATAAAAACAGTGAGTTTCGGCCTTTTTCTTTGGCAGAACGTACTGCAAACTCTAATTTTTGTAAGACATCCACCTCAGTTGGCTGATTGTGTGGATCTAAATGATAGATTCCGATAGAAGCAGTAAGATATTCATTATTACTACCAAACAATATCTTTTCATTGGTGACTGCAAATTTAAGCCGTTCTGCAAGTGTCACCACTGCCCACTCAGTAAGATGTTCAATCACAATAACAAAACTTGCTGAATTTAAACGAAAAATTTCAGCTTCTTCAGTTTGCGCAATCGCTTCATTTAATACAGAACCGAGTTGTATTAAGACCTCATCACCTGCAGTATAGCTATTGAGTTGATTAAATCGCTTAAAGTTATCTAAATCAATTTTAAGAAATGACAAATGCGAGTCACAACTGTTTTGCCAGATTTTATTTAAATAATGCTCAAAAGCAAAAGCGTTCTGTAAACCTGTGACAAAATCTAAATAGAGATGGTCGTGCAATTTTTTATTATTTTGCAAAAGTACATTTTCACGGCGCTTCAAACGCGTTATATCTGAGCAAACAACTACAACTGTTTCAATCTCATCATATTGGTTACGTATTGCTTTAAAATATGAAAGATAAAATTTTCCTTTGACATAAAATTCTTGCTCAAAATAATTTTTATTTTTTGAGAAATAACGCATTGCTTCAGTGAAATGAGCATAAACAACGGTCGAAAATGTATTGAGTAACTTATCAAACAAGTAAAGCGCGTCACTTTCATAAATATCAGCAAATTTTTGATTTACCCCTAAAAACCGCGCTTCCTGATCAAATAAAGCGATGGGTAAAGGAATTTGTGAAATAAAAGAAACCAGATGCAATTTGTCAATATCTTTTAAATATTCAAAAACTTTGATGTCTTCAAGGCTATCTCGTAGTTTTTTAGACTCTTGTTCCATACGCCACCTCGAAGCCAATAAATTTTTAATCTATTGAAATCAGCATTTAATGTATTAATTTTTTACAACAGCAAATCATCAGAATTGCTATCACATAAAGTAAGTATGATAAAATACTGTAACTATTTTGCCATACACAATACAAAATTAGTACTTTTATTGATATAAATCACAAAAAAATAAACCTTGCGAATGCAAGGTTATTAAAATTTCAACGATCAAATCTCTCAAATGCTATTTGAAAGCACATCAAAAAGATTAAAAACTATCTGCTGGCACTCTAACCCAGCCCTCCATCAATACACGCGCACTACGACTCATGATGGCTTTCTTAACAACCCATTGTCCTTTTTCATTTAAAGCTTGTGCACCCACGCGAAGTGTTCCAGATGGATGACCAAAGCGTACCGCCTCACGTTCACCACCTCCAGCAGCCAAATTCACCAAGGTATTTGGAATTGCTGCCGCTGTACCAATCGCGACCGCAGCTGTTCCCATCATGGCATGATGTAATTTACCCATCGATAACGCGCGCACCAATAAATCTGTATCGGTTTCACCCACCTGTTTACCACTAGACGCGGTATAGCTTTTAGGTTGCGATACAAATGCCACTTTCGGAGTATGTTGACGATTAACCGCTTCACTAATGTCTTGGATTAAACCCATTTTTACCGCACCATAAGCACGGATTTTTTCAAAACGCGCTAATGCAGCTATATCACTGTTGATATCGTCTTGTAATTCAGTTCCGTTGTATCCAATCTCTTCGGCATTTAAGAAAATTGTAGGAATACCAGCATTGATCAAAGTTGCTTGAAATGTACCAATTTCAGGAACCTCTAAGCTGTCTACAACATTTCCTGTTGGGAACATTGCTCCACCATCTTCCCCGTCATCGGCAGGATCTAAAAATTCAATTTGAACTTCTGCTGCTGGAAAAGTGACACCATCCAATTCAAAATCACCAGTTTCTTGAACTTGTCCCTGAGTAATAGGCACATGGGCAATAATTGTTTTATGAATATTGGCTTGCCAAATACGAACTGTACAAATACCATTTTCTGGAATCCGATCAGCTGCAACCAAACCATTACTGATTGCAAATGAACCGACAGCAGCTGTTAAATTACCGCAGTTGCCGCTCCAATCTACAAATGCTTTATCGATAGACACTTGCCCAAACAGATAGTCAACATCATGATTTGGTTGTGAACTCTTGGCTAAAATAACTGTTTTACTGGTACTTGAAGTCGCCCCGCCCATCCCATCAATCTGTTTTCCATACGGATCTGGACTACCAATCACACGGAGTAATAACTGATCACGTGATTGCCCCGCTATTTGTGCACGTTCAGGCAAATCATCGAGTTTAAAGAAGACACCTTTACTGGTACCACCACGCATATAGGTTGCTGGGATTTTGATTTGTGGTGCAGCGCTCATTTTATCGTATTCCTTTCAATTCTCTTTGTTGTCTAAAATAATGAATCTTCATTCAGTTTTATACTACCCTTTTTTTGAGTAAAATACTGACGGATTGACTTAAGTATTAAATAAATCTTGTCATAAAGCTTAAATATTAAACAGATTCAGTTTGCTTTGAAAATTTAAAATTAATCTTATTTCATTGAAAATGAATAAAAAAATTAAATATATTATTTTTTGACTTCACAGTTCCTTTCCATACATCTATCGCATACTAGGCTAAAAGTAACCAATCTATTACAATAATTAAATTCGCATAAATAGAGTTGTACACATTGAGCAACGAGTCTACACAATTACAGCGTGGGCTTAAGAATCGTCATATCCAATTGATTGCCATGGGCGGTGCAATTGGTACAGGATTATTCTTAGGTTCAGCACATGTGATCGAAAAAGCTGGGCCATCCATTATTTTGGGTTATGCCATTGGTGGTTTGATCGTTTTTTTAATTATGCGTCAGCTTGGGGAAATGATAGTACATGAACCCGTAGCTGGTTCTTTTAGCCATTTTGCCAATAAATATTGGGGTAAATTTCCTGGTTTTTTAACTGGTTGGAACTATTGGATGTTGTACATCCTAGTTGCAATGACAGAATTAACTGCGGTCGGCAAATACATCAATTATTGGTGGCCTGAAATTCCAAACTGGGTGTCTGTACTGTTTTTCTTCGTTGTGATTACACTGGTCAACCTAGGAAATGTGAAGTTTTACGGTGAATCCGAATTTTGGTTATCCATCATTAAAGTCACTGCTATTGTTGCAATGATTGTATTTGGTATTTATTTGGTTCTGACCGCAGATGTAAGTTCAGGGATTGCTTTTTCAAACTTATGGTCTCATGGTGGCTTTTTTCCAAATGGATTTGATGGCTTATTTTATATGCTGGCTTTCCTTATGTTTGGTTTTGGCGGTATTGAATTAGTTGGTATGGCTGCGGCTGAAGCCAAAGACCCAGAAAAAACCATTCCTAAAGCGATTAATCAAGTTGTGCCACGTATCCTTATTTTTTACGTAGGTTCGATGATTATTCTGTTGTCTTTGGTGCCTTGGAACCAGTTGAATTTTGGTGGTTTAGATAAAAGTCCATTCGTGATGGTCTTTAGTATGATTGGGATTGCCTGGGCAGCTCATCTGGTTAACTTTATTATCTTAACTGCGGCATTATCTGTTTATAACAGTGGGATGTATGCCAATAGCCGTATGCTTTATGGTTTAGCAAAACAAGGCAATGCACCTAAAATTTTTACCAAAACCAATAAGCATGGTGTACCAATTCCATCTGTATTACTTTCTGCATTTTTAATTTTAGGTTGTGTACCTTTAAATTATTATTTACCAGAAGATGCTTTAAGTCATTTGATGTATGTGGTGGTTGGCGCTTTAGTTTTAAACTGGTTAATGATTACACTCACCCATTTAAAGTTTAAGCGTGCTCTACGTTTGACCAATCAAACCAGCAAGTACCCTGCACTTTGGGCACCTGTTAGTAATTTCGTTGTAATTATTTTTATTGGTATCGTTTTATATATCATGTGGGATCAAGGATTTAAAGAATCCGTGTTGATGATTCCTGTATGGATTACCCTGATGTTAGTCCTGTTTGATATTTTAAATCCAAATGAAATAAAGACTGAAGAAAAATAAATCTAACCCAAAGCTATTATTTCGATAATAGCTTTTTTTTCATATGCATATACGGTAAATTATTTACTTATTGTGCCCTTAGCTTAACTGGATAGAGCAGTTGCCTCCTAAGCGACAGACGTGGGTTCAAGTCCCGCAGGGCGCACCAAATCATTAAACCCACATAAACCCTGTATGGGCAACATGGAATCGTGGACAGCCAATAACTAAGATTCAACTGACCACACGCTTAAAACAATTTGGCGTTAAATCCAAAGACGTACGCATAGGGACAGAAGTAAAAAAAGGCTTTGATATTAATCAATTTAAAGACGCTTTTAAGCGCTATTTACCGTTACCCCCTATTCAAAACGCTACAACGCTACAACCTATATGTAGCAAGGATTACAGCCCAAATCAAAGCGCAACACAGCATGAGAGTGTAGCGAGTAAAAAACCGCTAAAACCTATACACAGCAATACTTGTAGCGTTGTAGCGAGTCAAAACCCATTAGTAGAGCGCAACACACAAGAGGAGGAAGAAACGCCGTTAAAAAAACAGGTAAAGGTTAAGCAATCATCACCTGAAAAAGTTGTAGATACTCAAACAATAGATATGTTCGAGGGTGGGCTATGAATATGCAAAAAGCACTTGATTTAATCCAGTTAGCAAAGTCATATCAATGTAAATTATTCATCGTTCCACCTGATCAATTACGTTGGTCTAGCCCTATGATGCCACCACAAGAGTTTATTGAGGAACTGAAAGCAAATAAGCGTGTCTTACTTGAATATTTCAAACAGACAGATCGAGATTTAAGTACATTGGTGAAACGTGCATTTGATGGCTACAGATGGCTGTTAGACCGTAAGAAGCTACATTATCGCTACAACGGCATTCCGATGTTAAATGCTCGGCTAAGCGTTACAGAGTGGCGATCTACTGTAATGCAAGTTCTTAAGGTTAATGATGCTGAATTAGACATCATTGAAAGCTTATTGATTCAGGACAATCATCTTATCTACACAGATGAATCTAGATCTATATTCACCACACCTGAACAAGAACAGCAGGAATACTTACTCGATGATCGTACAGGTACGGCGTTTAATAACTGGCTGAATACTCCGAGAGAGTTTGTGTTTTGTTGAGAATAGCCTCTTAAATGGGGCTTTTTATGTGATTTTAACAGATCTATATAGGGTTATTTTCTAGCGTGTTTGAAGACTGTAGTTATAGTTATGTATATACTTAGCTTTGGCTTTTAGCATTCAATATTCTGTAATATGACCCCAAATACCGTCGATACCATTCGCAAAGTAGTGAATGATCAACTTATTCCAAAAAATAAGGCTGAATATGGTCAATTTATGACGCCTAGTGTAATTGCAGAATTCATGGCTAAATTATTTGATAAGCAGGCACTTAATGTGAAATTAATTGATTGCGGTGCAGGAATAGGCTCTCTTTCAATTTCAGCAATTAGTCATCTTAAAAATATAGAGCAAGTAGACTTATGGGAAATTGACCCAATAATGTCAAAACCTTTAGAAGTAAATATGAAGGAAATGGAGGTTTTTTTTCAGATATTTACAGAAGATTTTATATCAAGTGCCGTAACGAAGTTGCTTGATAACGATCATGAGCTTTACACACATGCCATTATAAATCCTCCATATAAGAAGATTAATAGTAATTCAAAGCATAGACTGGAACTCAGAAAAGTAGGAATAGAGACTGTAAATCTATATTCAGCATTTCTAGCCTTAACTATTAAAATGATGGCTGATGATGGTCAAATTGTAGCAATTATTCCTCGCTCATTCTGTAATGGTCCTTATTACAAATCTTTTAGAGAGCTAATGTTAAAAGAATGCTCAATTGAGCATATTCATATATTTGATAGTAGGAATAAGGCATTCAAAGAGGATGATGTCCTACAAGAAAATATCATCATCAAGTTAGTTAAATCAAAGGTTTCAAACCAAGTATGTATTTCTCAGTCATCTGACCATAAATTTAATGATTATCAGGAAAATATATTTGTATTTGAGGATATCGTGAAGCCAAATGATCCTGAAATTTTTATCCATATTCCGACAAATACAAGAACATTTAGTGATGAACAAGCTTTGTTTTCCAAGACACTTTCAGAGCTTAATCTCAATGTAAGTACTGGACCTGTTGTTGATTTCCGGATGAAGGAATACTTAGAGATGGAAGCTAGTGAGGATAATGTTCCTTTACTCTACCCCCATCATTTTGAAAATAGAAAATTGGTTTATCCTAGAGTGCATAAAAAGCCAAATGCTATTAGAGTCGAGCCCGCATCACAAAAGTGGCTATTTCCTAATGATGGATATTATGTACTTGTTAAAAGGTTTTCTGCTAAAGAAGAGCGTAGAAGAATTGTGGCCTATGTTGTAGCTCCTAATGAAATTAATAAAAAGTGGATAGGTTTTGAAAATCATTGGAATGTATTTCATATAAAAAAACATGGGCTGAGTAAAGATATTGCCTTTGGTTTGGCATGTTTTTTAAATAGCACGATTGTTGATGATTACTTCAGAGTATTTTCAGGACACACCCAAGTAAATGCGACAGATTTAAAAAATATGAAATATCCCTCTATTGAGAGTTTGGGGGAGCTTTCAAAGCAATATGAAATAACGATAGACCAAAATGAAATTGATAGACTTGTTGAAGGGTTAATTACAAATGGTTAAAAATACCGAGTTAAGCGATGATGAAGCAATACAACAAAAGCTGGATGATGCTAGACAAATCTTAAATGATATAGGCATGCCTAAAGAGCAGCAAAATCAAATATCAGCACTATGTTTCTTAGCTTTACTAGATATAACACCACATAAATCTTGGAAAGATGCAAAAGAAAGAATGATGGGTATCACACCTATCATGAAGTGGAGTCATGAACATTATAAAAAATACTATGCTCAAAATACGAGAGAAGATTTCCGAAAAGGTTCTATACATCAATTTTTAGAAGCAGCAATTGCTTTAGAAAATCCTGATAAACCCAATAGACCTAAAAATAGTCCTAATTTTGGCTATCAAATTGAAAGTCATATCCTAAATTTAGTAATTAGCTTTGAAACAGATGACTATCAAAGTAAGTTAAAAGAATATCTTTCAACTAGAACGAGTTTAATTGATACATATGAGCGAGCTAGAGCTATGCATATGGTTCCATTAAACCTTCCAGATGGTCAGATAATTAATTTATCAGCAGGTAATCATTCAGTATTAATAAAGGCAATTATTGAGAATTTTGCGCCGAGATTTATTCATGGTGGAATACCACTCTACGCTGGTGATACAGGGGATAAAGATGGTCTTTTTAATAAGGAATATTTAAAAGACTTAAATGTCGAATTAGATGGGCATGGAAAATTACCTGATGTAATAATTCACGATCCAACTAAAAATTGGCTATTTCTTATAGAGTCAGTAACGAGTACGGGTCCAGTAGATCATAAACGTTATTTAGAGTTGAAAAAGTTATTTAAGGATTGTTCAGCAGGTTTGGTTTTCGTTTCTGCATTTCCTGACCGCAAACTGTATGCAAAATTTAGTAGTAAGCTTGCATGGGAAACAGAAGTATGGATTGCTGAGCATCCAACTCACATGATTCATCTTAATGGAACTAGATTTATGGGTCCATATACTGATAAAGAGTTAGATTCATAAATTATGTTGAATTGTTTTACGTAGTCATCATTAATTGTAGTAGCTCAAATTTAAACTGACAGTCACCGTTAAAAATGGGTAACTGTAAGATCTGGTTTGAGCTAGTACAATTAAGGGGCTTTTTGCTTTTCCATCCGAATTTGATTACCAATTTCTTGCATTTCATATTCCAATTGATTTTTTTCAGATTTTAATTTTTTTATTAATTCATCTTTTTTAAAATACTTTTTTTGCTCTTTTGTGATTTCATCATTCAAAATTTGAACGTCACGTTTAATTCTTGAATACTTATCGTATAACGGTTCTAACTTTTCTTCATCATTCATTTTTTTCTGTATTTGATAAGCTCTATCTGCCCAAAGACCAAAATTTATAGTTGAAATTTCAGGGCTTATATCTGAATAAATTACATAATAAGAAGCTGATTGCCAAGCCTTACTACTTATAGATTTATCCTTACTAGCATTAACCCATCGGTTAAAATCATTAAAAACTGATTGTTGACACAGTCTAGCCATATCTCCCATATCATTACAATCAGCGAATGTATTCAATAATGCCCTTGTAAACATATCATAACCATAATTGAATGCACGACCATTTAAATCAAATGTTGAGCCTGAATAGTTTATTCCGCTTTTGTAAAAAGTTATTTTATTAGAGTTCAATAATTCAATTAGAGGTGTAAGCACCTCTGGATAAATAATTTTTTTAGCTTCATCCAGCTTTACTTGTGCTCCATAAGTAAAACTACTTAGAATAAAAAAAGTTATGAATATTAATTTTCTCATCCCTAAATCCTCAATTAAATATATATTGCTCTTTTCGTACAAAAACATATCATAGAGTCATTCTAAAAAGGATTCTAAAATGAAAAAACTTCTTCTAATAATAGCTTGCTGTACGTTTAGTGTTGGGGCTTGGGCTGAAACCTTACAAAATCCAAAAGATTCTTGTCAAATAACAGATTTACAATCAAGGTATGCACGATTGTTTGCTGCTGGACATCTGTGTGGTGTGGATGAGAAATCATTTTACGCAGAATCTGTAAGTAAGCTTTTTATAAATGATCAAAAAAACTGTAAAGTTTCATCAGATCAAATTGACCCCCAAGAATTACAAATCGATGAAGCAATAAATGAAATTGAATCTCTCTCACTACAAGATCAACGAGAATTATGTAAAACTCTCGATGATCAAATTAGAAAAACGTTAAAACAATCAAATTTACATTAACCAAAGACACCTTTTGAATTTCTAGTCATTTGCAGATTAACTGCATCTTGTTCATTACGAACATTACGCGCTGCAAGCATTGGATCAGAAATGCCAGTAACGTGAATATCGGTTTTTTGATTTATATTCACGTTTCTATTTGATGACTGAGTATTAGAAAAATTAGGAACTACAGGTTTAATATTATTCGGAGTTTCTGCATTTTGAGCTAATTTTTCAATAGCTATTCTATCTATTTCAATATCAGAAAATTTTGATTTCTTTGTTAAATCCCCTTTGAGAGCATTTAAATTATTTCGCCTACGCTGATCATGAGCTTTCCAATCAAAAGCCTTTGTTCCTTTATTTATAAAGTTCTGACCATAAGCCCAAACAATATAATTTCTGCCTAATAGCGGAGCAGCAGACTCTGGATCGATATTTGGATTTTCTAAAAACTTTTTTTTGGTTTTTGAATATCTACCATTAGTTTCAATCTCACTTTTAGCAAATTTAGCCATAGCATTTAATGCACCTTGACCTTGAATAATATTCCCCTTTTTATCAAGTAATCCTTTTGAGCCTAAGGATTTAAGTAATTCTTTTTTTCTAACCCCTTGCCAGCTAAAATAACCCAGATTCGTTAAATCATTACCCATATCAGAATGAGTACCGAACATAATATTTGCATTATATTCATTTTCACGGCCCACTTCTGCCGTTAATGCTAAAGCCTGATTTTTTGAAAACCCTGCATTTATAAAAGATTCATAAACCATCATTCGATTATCAGACTTGTTACCTAGTTTTAAACTGCTGTTTGCCTGAACCTTTTCTTGCACATCACCAGCTACAGCATTCGCCATTCCAACAATTCTATTCACTCCAGCTAAAGCCGTTTGTTGAAGCGTTTGAGTTGATTGTTGCTTAGTATTACCTGTACTGGCTTTTTCAGCATCAAGTGCTGCTTGAGCTTCTTCATTGCCAATAAAAGCTAGACCTTTTGCGACAGTGCGACCAAGCTTGATTCCTAAAGTTTCATCACCTATCTTTTTGCCTAAAATAAAGTCTGTGGCTTTTTGTTGTAGATCTTTTAGCGTATTACCAAGTTCTTTAATCTTACTAATTGCAGTTTCAATTCCACCAGCCCACTTCTCCCAATCAAGAAGCGATTCACCACCACGTTTCCAAGTTTGATAGTCATCCCAAAGCAAAGCAATCGCGGCCGCTAATGCTAAGACAATACCAATTGGTGATGCCAAAAAGACTAAACGCAAGGCTTTGAAAATATTGAGTAGCCCTGTAAGCATCGGTAATAATTTTGCAAACTTTCCAATCGCTGAAAATAGACCACCAAATACCACAGTCAGCATTGCGATTTTAAGTCCCGCTGCTAAGAATGTTTTGATATGTGGATTGAGCTGTCCAAACCAATGAATCGCAAATTGAATCAATTGATTAAGTAGTTTGAGAATAGGGATTAAAGCTTTACCCGCAGTCATTACAATGACTTCCATCAATGCCTTTAACTGCATCGTCATATCACGCCACTGATATGCAAACTCTTGACCTGACTTCGCTAATTCATCATTTAAGCCCATGTCTTTACGTAACTTTTGGTATTTCTCCATTTCAGAAGTAAATTTACCGT